GGTTGACACAGCATCATTTGTCTTACAAGGGAAACAAAAGTTGACACAGCAAACAGGTTACTGAGGTGGGGGGTGGAATGACCGAATTATAGAACAGCATGATGCGGTCAGTTAATTTATAATAAAGTTATACCAATGTGGTCAGTGCTCCAGGTATTTGGTTATTAGGGTGATAAGCATAGAACATAACATGAAGTTTGTAAATTCCTTTTTCTTTCATACTCAATGCTATTCAAATTCATCCATGTTACTGCACTTATCAACAATTTGTTCCTCATTATTTCTCACTAATATTTTACAGTGCACATGTCCTGTGTTTGTTTAAGAAGTGCTGCATCTGGAACATCTTACCTATTTAATGTGAGGCCTTTACAAGAGAAAGAGTTATTAAAACATTATATACTTTGCTGTAGGCATAAGTTTTGGTGAGGCAAACAGAACCGTCTAAGCGTACAAAGATTGGCCTGAAAGAAGTATGTGTATAGATTTTAAGAAAACATCAAACTATTGTGCATAGGCAGCCCATTCAGGACCCCACCGATCCCAGGAACTATTCCTATTCTTTATTCCCTTTTTCCAATAAGTTTTCCTATTTTTACCAAAAGAAAACAAAAGATTTTCATAGAGTGTTGTCACATTTTACATTCCCACCAGCAATGTATGGAAGATACAAGTTCTGCCTTATCGGTGACCCCTTTCCTGGCTTTGTTTTGTTGTTTTATTTGTTTAATGTTTTTAATATGGGGACAGAATCTTGTTAAATTGCCTGAGCTAGAATCTGATTTATAATCCTCCTACCTCAGAATCTCAGAGTACTGGGGTTACAAGAGGGTGCCATCATGCCCATCTTGGAAAATGTTGTATGTCACTCTGTAACATGGTTTTCATCCTTGGCAAGATCAGTAACAAGTCAAAGGTTTTAATTTTTACAACATTTGATTGATTGGTAGATTGATATATATTCTTTTGGTTTTATATCCAATTCTTCAATAAGACTTAGGATCTAAAACTCTGTAGGAAGTTACCTTCTGAAAGTTGCACGGTTTTATATTTTGCAGCTAACTATGCAATGAGCAATGGAGCAATGATCTTAGGGAAGGTTAAGCATAAAGAGGGTTTAGGAGTGTATATGACATGAACAGTCATTAAAGAATGCACCTTGACTGCATATCTAATTGGGCAAAAGGTGAGTAAAACTCAGAGAAATGCAAAAAACCTAAGGCTTACAATAAACTATTGTTACATACAAATTAAACTGGTACTATGTGATTTTTTACTTAAAGTACCTCATGACTAAAGGAAAAGTCAACTTCCTTCAGTACAGACTGAAAGCATGTGATTATCTGAAAGACGGTCAGATCAGTTTGTAAGGGACTCCTTCATTGGCAAAGTGGATGTTAATGCAAACACACAATGAAGCCATCAAATGTGTACTCTGTGATCATAGCCACAAAGATTCTCTCGTTGCAACTATTTCTAAATTGAAGAACACAGACCACTGGATAACAATTGCAAATGGCTAACAAAAAAGGCAGGTTTCTGAAAAAGTATACAATCACTTTTTAATACTGCTTCATGCAAATACAGATATAAAAATATTTATTTAATATACAGGAAAAGTAAATTAACCTATAGACTGAGAATCCCAAATTGAAAGTTAGTTTCCTCCATTGTAAAATGAATCCATTCATTCCTAAAATTCACTGAAAAAAAGCATTTGTATTTTTTAATAGTAAAGTGCAATGATGGAGCATTAAACAAAGACTGAGACTGAATGGTGGATGGGAATTCTGAATCAATGATTTAAAGTTCTCTTGAGGGAATCTTTTACTTCTTGCTGAAAAATAAATTACTGTCTTTTGCAGGTAATCTGAAATAAAGCTATAAGTGACAATGATATACATGTATTTTTCTAGATATATTTTCACCCTTTATAAATAAAAATAAATTCCTGAACCACAAGGTGACTATATATTGAATGGTATTTAAAACTGTTAACCTATTATAACGAAAGTAAGTTAGCAAAGTATGATGATTTCAAAACTGCAAATAGAAAATGATACTTGATATCAGTTTGATAAGTCATAATTTATTTTTATTACTCTACTAATAGTAGTATTTGCAGTGCTAAACATTTAATCCTGTGCTTCAGTCATGGTAAACCAGTGTTCTACCTGGAAGCTACAGTCCTTCACCTTTTTATTTTTATTTTGAGACATGGTATCATTAGTTTGCAAAGATTGGACTTAAACTTTGTAATCCATTTGCCTCTGCAGGAAGTACTACAAGACTACATAATTTTTCTCAAACAGAGGCTGGCAAGTAGTTTCTTACTGCTGTTGTAACTTTATTTCACTGAAGGCCAAGGATACTGGGCCTCCTCTTAGTCATTTGGGCATGGATCGTTTGGCTATTTACACTGTGAAGCACATTTCACATGCTTTGTCTATGGTTAGTAGATGGCCTTTTTGTTCTTGACATGTTGAAGCAGAAATCCTCACCTGACCACAGCCATTTGGTCCAATAAATCTGCAGTCACTTTGTTCTCTGCCACTGAACTTGGTTAAACCATATGATTTGTCATCAAATTGAAACTTTTATGAACGTGCTAAAAGCAGCTTTGTTACATACAACTACGCTCGCTGCACAAGATTTCCATTGTACCCTGACCATTGGCTAAAAGTTTATGTTGTTCTTATAACTTCTGTTTGCCACTGTACACACACCAAATACAGTAACACACACATGCACACACACACACGTCAGGATTCTTTTCCTTCAGTCTAGTTTTTTCAAATGTTTTATTACATTATGGAATGCTGGTATATAATCAGTTTTGAGATATATATTTTAGTATATACTTTTCTGAATATTTTGTATAGTGCACAGAAACAGCTAATGACATATATGAGGGACCTTTACTGCATACTGTGAAGATTGAACTGGACGTATTTCAGTTGCCTCTGATAAGAGTTCTTATAATCACTGTTGAAATCTCACACATAATTTAAATAAGCTTTTAAAACTTATGCTTTTGTCTTAATCTTATCATGTATATTTAAGAAAGGAATTACTTGAATGTTTATAAAGTAGTATTTTCGTATTTGCATCACTGGGAAGAAATGATTGACACACACAATTGAAGAATGAGAGCATGAGTTTGATGATGGCATCGAAGAGTTCAGATCATGTTTATAAGCCTAGTCACAAATGTATGGTGGGTTGTCTGGTGACAAATGCAGCTTAAGTCAAGAGAGCAGAGATGCAGAGAGGGCAAGAAATGTGCCCTTCAGCTAAGCATGAAACCAGTGTCTGACTTCCTTTACCGGGGCAACAGCTCCTCATAGCACAGCTATAAAATTAACAATAGATTGATCCACTGATAAGTGACTATGAGCTAACAGCCTTCCAAAAGTCCCACCTCTGGACACATCAGAATTTTGGGTGACATTTTGATCTAAATAATAGCAACGGCAAGAGGTATTCTTTTTGAGGGCCAAGGATTTAATTCAGCGGCTTAAGTGCCTGCCTGGCAAGCACAGCGTTTTAAGTCAAATCTCTGGTATTAAAAAAAAAAAAAAAAAAAAAAAAAAAAGGAAAGAAAGAAAAATGAGGTAATATTTTTTGCTTAGTTATCTCTCATTTATATCTAAAAGTAAAAATGGTTATGTCTTCCATGAAGAAAACTTGGAATGTTTGAGAAAATTCCATCAAGAAAGATTATGTCTTCTTATGAATAAAGAAGCCATGAGATAAGACTCAAAGGTATTCATTGCAAAGATCACACACATCAGAAGTTTCAAACTGTGAAGAAAACATTGTGTTAATGCATAATCTGTGGCACTGTGTGTACAGACTCATGATGGATACAAAAGAGAGTCAGGAATAAAAATGCAATGAACTTTTTAGTGTTTGAGTTAACTTTATCTGTATAATCACCATATATATATATATATATATATATACATATATATATATATATATATATATATATATATATAATATTCATGTCATTCCAGTTCATAATCAGAGTACATTTTTTATTTTGAAGTTTTCAATCATAAGTCAGCATATCATGAAGCAAACAAAATCTAAGGCTCACTATAGCAGGAGAATCTGTGAAGCTAAGTATAGAATTATTCAACTTTTTTTTTGCATTAGTCTAACAAAAATCTTTGCCAATGTCTCCGTTATATTTCAGATATAAGACATAACTTAATTTGGAACTAATTCTGGAATGGCATGCTTTACTTTACTCACAGACTAAATCTTTGGAAACATTTTTGTCTTGTGTCATATGTGATATTTAAGTACTTGCATCCATTAAAACTAACACAATCTTCCCACTGCAATCTTCTGCATTTCAATGCCCAGAGACTATTATAGATGGTCTCTTACTAATTCTATGATTAATTTTGCTTCATTTTAAATGTTAAAAACTCTCTCTGGTATAAGAAATCAAAGAGTAAATAAGGTTTAAAATGTACAACAGGTAATGTGAAATGGAAAGAAATTGTTCAAAAGGGAAGAGGAACTAGGGTGGGGGAAAAGGGAAAGGAGGAAGGGAAAATAAAAGAAAGTACAGGTCATTTATACTCTGGGCTTCACTTAGTTCACTGAAAAGAAAGGTTTGTGCTATTGTTTGAAGAACTTTTATGCACGTATCTTTTTCTCTGAGTAACTCCTTGAAACCTAACAATACTTACTGTATTAATATTGTTATTCCCCTATAATTTTCTTTAAAAATAATTGCTTTATTTTTCCTAGAAAATAAAATTAAATAACTAAATAATCAGTTTCACCTCTGCAAGTCTAAGATCAACCAAAACTTTTGCCTGAATTTTCTTATTTGTAACTAATGAAAGTTCCTGTATAATCTGGAATACTGCTTGTGGCTTGTGTTACATGAGTACAATATTTATTAGTTTTATCTCAGTGAAAAAGAGTACAGTTTGATATAAGATGCCATGATAAAGAAGGAAACAAATTGCAAAGTAGTTCTACTTTTTAATACTAAAGTACGATGATGGAACATTAAACAAAGACTGACACTGAATGTTGGGTGGGAATCTGAATCGATGAGCTAAGGTTCTCTTGAGGGCATCTTTTACTTCTCGGTTGCGCAGGCTGTAGATCAATGGGTTCAGCATTGGGATCACCAACGTATAAAACACAGAGGCCATTTTATCAACATCAAAAGCATGGCCGGATTTGGGCTTCAGGTAAATAAACAGCAATGTGCCATAGAACACTGCCACCACGGTCAGATGGGAGCTGCAGGTGGAGAAGGCTTTGTATCTCCCCTCAGTTGAGCTCATTCTAACAATGGCCACAAGAATAAACATGTAAGATATGAGAATGATCAGGAATGAGGACAGCAAGTTACAGCCAGAGAAGATCAAGATTATCAGCTCTAATTCCTGCGTATCAGAGCAGAGCATGGTCATCAGAGGGAGACAGTCACAGTAAAAATACCTGATGATGTTAGAGCCACAGAAGGGCAATGTAAACAACTTCACTGTGAGCAACAGTGACACAAAGATGCTATAGAGGTAGGGAACAATAACCAAACCCCAACACACCCGGTCTGCCATGATGACCATGTACGTGAGAGGTTTACAGATGGCTACATAGCGATCATAGGCCATTGCTGAGAGTATGAACAATTCAGTAATGATGAAAATCTCAAAGAATGCCATCTGGATGGCACAAGCACTATAGGAAATGGTATTTTTGTGTACTACAAAATTTACCATCATCTTTGGGCCAATGACAGTGGAGTAACCAAGATCAGTTATTGATAAATGTTTAAGGAAAAAATACATGGGGTTGTGTAGTTTAGAGTCCAAATGGGTCAAGATGATCATGTTCAGGTTTCCCATTATTGTGACCAAGTATATGATGAGAAAGATGGCAAAAAGTGGCCCCTGGAGGCTAGTGTTTTCAGTGAGCCCCATGATAATAAATTCTGTAACCTTAGTCACTGCAGTATGATTGAGCTTTTCCATATGGTTCATCTTGATAACCTGTATAAGGATAAAATCAACACCAGTTATATTTGAAATGCCATCTAAGAGAATTTGTAGTATGGTGTATATGACCTATAGATACCTTTGTATCAGGTCCTAAGTAGACTGTTAGGCTTCCCACCAGGCCAAAATCACAAGAGCTATGCTCACATTCAATGAAACTTTAAACGGCAAAATATTGCAAAGTGGTTGTTCTCATGCAGATACTAATACATGCTTCTTTAAACGCCAGGCCATTTTACCACATCAAAAATGTATTTATTATTTTAGCTTTTTAAAATTCTCATGTAATTTGTGGAACAGACATATGCATCTAAATAATGAAACTTATCTTAATGCTGATCATCGAATACGTTTAAAGAAGCAAGAGTAGAAAGACTTTGAAAACCTCTGTTGAATAAATCCTTCAATACATCTCTGCTTATTTACTGATCATAAAATCCAGTACTCTAACATGAGCATATGAATGTTGTCAGTATCTCCATCTGCTTTTGCCACATCAGTCCATCTTGCATGATGAATCGCTACTCCTAACAACCTCACATATCCTCTGCTACAGAAAAGGAGTAGACCAAATAGTGTAATTATGTATCTTTTACCCTCCCTTCAGGGATCATAATGAGAAAAACGCACCACAGAAAAAAGAATACAAATGAGTTTCAACAATTAAAGTGTGTACATTTGCTGCCTGCCAATTTTCTAAGCATTTTACAAACATTAATATGACCCCCACAATACACTAGGAAGGTAGTAATAGCACCCTATTGAAAAGTAAACAGGCTCAAACAACTGAGCAACTTAACAAGCTTCACATAGACTATTACTGGTGGAGGCGAGGTTCAAATACTGTCATTGTCCCTCAGGATTCTAATCTCAACCCAAATGTGGTGACTCAGGCCTGAAATCCCAGCACTTTTTCAACTGAGGCAAGAGAACCACAAGGTTGCACTCAGCATGGGTGACTTAGCCTCTTAGCAAGCTCCTGTCTCATAAATAAATGAATAAGTAAATTGTAGAAGACATAAATGAATAATAGTCTAGAGGTGTAGCACAGTCTATGAGGCCACCTCTCCATGAAGGAGACTCCAAAGAAATGGGAAATAGGAATGGGATGGAATAGAAAAAATACCAGATGAATAATGCAAAGTCCTGGTTAAAACAGATGCGTGAAGCAATGAGCTGATATAAAAAATGGACCACTGAAAAGTAAGCTGCTGTGCCTACAGGGGGCACTGGAAAGTGAACAGCAGACTCACTCTTGTCTTGACTTGTCATCTTTTGGAGGACAAGAACATGTATTTCAAAGGAAGAGGCACTTTTGCACATTTGAAGGCCATCTCACATCCTTGGTTATAATGCATTTTAAACTACATGCTCTTAGAAACTGTTAAAGATGAATGTATCTACTCACCTCACTGGATTTCTGCTTTAGACTCCTCTGGTTCTATTTATGACAGGTTGTTAAAGAACTGACTCATTTTCTTTTTCATCTTCAAGACTTGGTCTGTTGAAGATTAAATGCAATTTGTGGATAAACAAATTGCACATAATTACCTGAGAGAGAGGGTTTACTTATCTGTTAATTAACTTCCAATTAGTCCATTGGGAAAGTTACTTAATGGATTAAAAAGTTCACGTAATTTCACTAAACACCAGAAGCCACAAACAGGCCTTTGTAACCATTCAATTATACAATGTCCTGAAATTATTAAGTAGAGGCTGTTTGTATAACACATGGATAAATGCATGATTGAATTCCAAGAAATATGTCACACAGCATTCAATGATGAAATTCATTTATTGAGAATGTTTTTGGATGTGAAATCACAAGTAAATGTCCTAAAAGATGTAAAGATTTTGTAAAAAACAATCAGTGTCCATTATTTCCATATATATGTAAATGTTTTAACTTTACTCTGGAGCTATTTTAAGAATTTGTCTTTTTCACTGATTTTCAGAAATTCAAGGATGTCCATTTGCTCTTATGTTGTCAGCAATGACAGGATTTCACTCTTTTTCATGGTTAAATAATACTGTATGTGTGCCATGTGAGTGGAACACTCAAGCTGTGACCCTTGCCTGGCTATTGCAAAAAATGCTACAATAAGTATGGGTGGTCAAATGTCTCTTTGATATATTGATTTCCTTTTCTTTTTTTTTAACCAAAGATTAAAATCATAACCTTGCACTTGATAGGCAGGCACTTATGACACTGAGCTAAATCCCCAGCCATGACTTCCTTTTTTTGTTTGGGTTTTTTAAAATATATGCCACAAAACAGGAAAACTGACTCCTGTAGTGCGTAGTTCTGTTTTTACTTTAGTTTTACAAGCTCTGTGCTATTCTCTGTAATGACCATACTAATTTAATTTCCACCAATAGTCAGAGTTGCCTTTACACCAAATCCTATTCAGCAATGTTTGCATGTCTCTTAAACTTTTTAATAGTACACATGCGCAGTCCATGTTTATACTCACGTTAGGGTGTAGCTGCATGAATTTAACATACCTTAATTTTTTTCCTTTCCTTTCTCTCCCTCTCCTAGTCCTCTATCTCTATATTGCCTTCTCATTTTCCAAAAATCTATTCTCCGATTTTTTATTGATTACATTTTATTTTGTTCTTAAAATTGTTTTATATCTTGAATTTCTTATATAAGACAACTTATGGGGTTTTGTTTTCTTTTTTTCACTGAAGTGATTGCAATGGATATGAGGCTATTATTCATGGTAGTTTTAAACTTCATTTCCCCGATGGATAAAGGTTTTGATCATTCTTTCCCATAAATTTGTGGTCATTTGAATTTCATATTTTGAAAAATGTCCACTCATATACAACTCTCCTTATAGTTCTACAAAGCATTTCTTATTAGGTGAATAGTTTAGAATTTGTTTCCCATTCCACAAGGCTGTCTCTCTGCCATTCTGTTTCATGTGCTGTGTTGTGTGCTGTCAGCTTAATATAAACCTTTTGGTCTGTTTTCAATTTTGTTTCATGTGCTTTTGTTGTCTTATCAAAATAAAACAAACAAACAAACAAAAACATCACCAAACATCTGCAAGTATTTCTGCCAGATTTTAGTTCAATAATCTCAAATCATACTTAACTCTTGCACCTTTTCTGAATTACTTTCAGTCTAGGGTTATAGAGATTAAATGTCAAACTGCAGCATGTAAATATCCAGTTTTTCCAACACCATTTATTAAAGGTACTGACTTGTTTGTTTGCAGCTGTATTGCATACCCATTATACATACAGAGGGTTATTTATGGCCTCTCAGTACTGTTGTGTTCACCTTATTTCATGCCACAAACAGGCTACTTGATTATTATGGAAAAGTAGAATATTTTGGATTATATCTTTACCAGTTTTCATTTTTTCTCAAGATTTTGTGACTAGGTGAGATCTTTGTACTTCCACATTCCCTTTAGAATTACTGTTCCAGTTATGTGAAGAAGGCCATTGACATTTTGATATGCATTAAATCAAAGCTATAGGTTGCTCTGTACACTGTAAACATGAAAAGAAGTTTTCTTGTTTCAGTCAATGAACACGGAAGGTCATCTTTTTCCTTGCATCCTCTTCATTCTACTTCATCAGACGTTTTAAATTTTCATTGCAGACTTTTCTCACTTTCTGGGTTAAGTGTATTCCTAGATACTTTACTTTTTGGAGTCATTTTATTTGAAATTGTTTTCATGACTTTTTTTTCCCAGTAAATTAATTATGGGTTGGTACCAGTGCTCCTGAGTTTTATATATTCATTATGTATTTTGCAACTTTGCTGAATTTATTTCCCCATCTTAACTTCTGAGTTTTCATTTTTTATCATGAAGTGACATAAAATTTTATCTAATATTTTATCATAATCATATGCTATTTTCCTCATGCTTTTTTGATGTGCTGCATTAGATTTATAGATTTGTGTATATTGAATCATCCTTATGTGCCTGGGATAAAACCTTAAAAACAAGAGGGAAGAGCCAAAGAATAAAATAAGAAAAAAAAAAAACAGGTGGTATTGTAAGTGACACCATGGAAATACAAAGAATCTTAGGGATTTTTACAGACAGTTGTGTTCTAATAAATACAAAAACTCTAGAAGATATCAATTAATTTCTGGGCATATATAATATGCAAAATCTGAATCATGGATATCTAGAAAACTTAAATAGATCAGACATTATGATAATGAAGCAGTAATATATTTTCCAAACAGGAAAAATAAGAGCCAGATATCTTCATTTGGATTTCACTAAACTTTTAAAAATGAAGGAATATAATTTTTTCCTGACATACTACAAGAAAATTGAAAGGGAAGAATTTTTTCCACACTCTGTATAGGCGTCAGAATTACCCTGATGCTGAAATCAAGCAAGACTTAATAACAAAGCAGTAAGAGAAGCACAGACAAATATTCTTGTAACAAAAACACTCAGCAAAGCATTAGCGAATCAAATTCAGAAGTATATCAAAAATATTATGGTGAGTTAAAAAAAAAACCTTTTTGAATGGCATTTATTACACACAATATGCAGTTCACTGTGATATTTCAAAGTTTAAATGGTATGCAGTGATAAAATCCAGAGCTTTTAACTCTAATGAATCCAAATGACCCACTTCTGTGTGATAATAGGCAGTGTTTAGCCAGGGCACAGCGTTGCACAGCTGCATTGTACTGATGGGTTCATCCAGCTTTTCTTTAGGAAGCTGTCTTCATGAATTAGTGTAACTATTCTTAGGGTAGTTAATATGTGATTTAGGAAATAGTTGAAACTCTGAAAACAATTACTAATTTGCTTTTTATTTAAGGACACTGACTTCACAGATGAATTTGCAGAAGCAAAGACATTTAATGCATTTTTCTAGACATTATTTTATAAAGTAAGTTTGAAGGTTAAAATCAATATAATCAAGCAGAGACTGTTTATATATGCCTTAATGAATAATATCACTCATTATATGGAATAAAACAAAAGGACATTGAA